TCCGCATTCAGTGAAAATACGCCAAAAGTCTTCCGCGTCCCGCCTGACCCGTTTCGGACTCCGCCCACTTACAGTTTAATTACTATTTTCCACTGAGTGCAGAACTGGAAAGCTTCGAGAAAGCTCACTTTTGCCATTTTGCGTTGAAAGTCCCAGATATGGGTTCCTCAAGGCGAGAAGGCTTCGAAAAGGTGAAAAATCGGCAGACAAAATTCTGCCTTCAAATCGACAAGATGCAAGCTAAAGTTCTGTAGTAATAAAACTTACCGGCATAGCATCTATCAAACGTCCCAGTCGTAAAGAATTTACGTGAAAATCGTCCATGGACAAATCACTTACGCTGAAAAGCACTTGTCAGATACAAAAGCAAAACGCTAAGCACGCAAACACAACTTTACGCGAATTTCACAAAAGCAAAAGACGCAGATTGTAAGCTCACAAAAACTTACGCTGAAGGGTTCTCCTCATTAGCCAAGGTTGTCTTCCACTGATCGACCATGACGGCGTTCAATACATCTTTAGGTATGAGATGATCATTCTCGACAGTTTTCAAACTTGCTAAAAAGGGACCATGCACCAATCGTGAAACAAAAAAAAAGGAAAATACCGCAAGACTACCAACCTATAGTGGTCGTTATATGATGGAGTCTTAATGCTGCGAATAATCCAGCATGTTTGACAAATAATTGACCTTCAGGGTAACTAGCGAGAGTTTCAGACATTTGACGTTGGAAATCCGCTTCAGGTAAGGCAGCGGCATGAGGTTTTTCGTCAAGGAATATCCACTTGAACGATAAGAATAAGCGTAACGTTAGAAACTGGAACGTCTGTGAAAAAACGCTCACCATTTTGATCATATTATATACATCCATTTCTCCCTCTATAATCAATAATTCGGTAGACGATATCAACCGGATAAATGTGTCCTCTCTGAGGAGTGGCAGGATTACTAAAATATGTGAAAACCGCACTCTATTCAACTCACCTCAAATTTTTCAGATACTCCTTGGACTTCATGAATCTCCAAAAATTCCATTTCAGCAAGTGATAGGCACGATTGGTGACCTGTAGCGCAATTCTTACAAGGGAACGATCCTAACACAAGGTAGCCAATTGGAATAAATCGCTCATTAGATGCGTCTTGACGAGCTGATTCCAAATCTACAT